ACAGCCACAGCAATGTGTTTGCAAGTCACGAGGCATCCTCCCTGAAACCTTTCCACTCTGTAAGATCTCTGCTTGTACACCCTGAAGACAGCAGGGCTGGAGGATTGTATGACATCGCATGCAACTGTGGGGAACATTACTGTGCACTGGTGAAACGACAAGAGACTGAATTAAAACTGGTGAAGGCCATACCAAAACTGGTTAGGGGTCAAAGGTCATCAACCAGTGGACGGTTGAAGAAAGATCAAAGAGAACATTCACATCTGACACCAGAGACAAACAGAAAAGACAGGGGTTGCCAGGTCCCACCCTATAGACACTTTTACTTTTTGAGTGCTTCTACAAAGAAAACTGTCCAAGAGATCCTCTAGAACCAGTTACTACTCACTTTAATATGTGATTCTCAGATTCTTTGCAGTCAGTGACGTCTGTGAACCTCTGTATCAACAGACTCTTATCTTACACAATGCTCTGTTAGGTCTGTTATGCAGCCATCTTCACTTTATGTTTTACATTCTTTCTGTGGCTTTATTTTTTCTCTCAGGGTGGCAGTAGCTTGGCTCATAGGGAAAGCTTGGGTACCAAAGTGTCTCTGGTTAAAGTCCAGTACGGACCGCAGTAAAATTTGTGTACTTGTAGCTGGAGAGGGGCCAGTTCACCCCCTGGACACTGCTGAGGTAATCAATGAGCGAGGTACTGACCCCGTTCCCACAGCGCCGTTATGGAGCAATCCATCACTCCTCCATCTTTCTCTCTCCATATTTTCATGTACATGAGCAGTGTGTGTGTGTGTGTGTGTGAGTTTTTAATTTCCCCATTGTGGATTAATAAAGTAAATCTTTCACTCACAAACACATTATCATGAGGTCATGTGAGGTCAAAACCTCCATGTTTGACTAGCATGTTTAGGCTTATCCTAAAATTAAAGAGACTACTGTATGAATAAAACTAGATACAATTCTGTTCATCTGATTCAAAACTAAATACTCTTAAATGAATGAATGAATGTCAGCACTTTAACCTTACAGTCACTGTTTCATTTCAAATCCATTGTGCTGGTGTAGAGCCAACACAATACAAATGTGTTGCCATCTTATTGCTTTGTAACTACACTGTCTGTATGCTTTATAAGTAGTGAATGGTAATTAAACCAAATGACAAGTCTAACAATCAAATATGAATGGAGATGGATCAAAATGACCAGAGAAATGCCCTCACATTTGTACTCCATTCTAGTCACAGATCATTTAATACAGCCCACACTCAGTGCTTTGATAATCTTCCACATTTCATAGGAATAGCTGAGTTGACAACTCACTGAGACAAGTTGTTTCTCTTTTTATTAAAAAAAGATCATTGCTTCTGTATTACTTTTATGCAAGTTGGTAAAACTCATTCCAGTGATTCAAAGTTGATTTCACACTGTATTAGATTCCAGTAATATTGAACTGGGAAAGAGCAGCATCAGATATCTGCTCAACAGGTGTGATGATCTGTCATGATTAACAGAAGGTAATTCATTCAAAAGTTTCATAGACAGTAGAGATTAAATATAAATTAGGCTGGATCATCTGAGTCACAGCAAACACTTCATCATGTTGGTAGCTGTTGGTAGCTAACCACATGACTTCCTGTTAGTTTTGTGTCAGACTCAGTGGCATGATATATTGTAATCAGCAGGTCGACTATGTGATGTGTCTCATTTTAATACCAAATGTTGCCCTGCATAAGCAATACCTCACAGTACATTTCCTCAGAAGCTGACACATCATAAATTAAAAGTTAGCCTTTTTTGCTAGCATTGCTTATTAGTGCAGGAGAAAAAAATTAAGGTAGGGAATGAAGGAGCAGAGAGGAAGACAGGGAGGAAAGGAGGCGAGAGGTGGGAGCTTATTGCCTGTCAGAGCCCTGCAATAATTTGTAAGAGGCCTGCGCTCAGATCAAGCAGAATTAGCAAGCATCATTCACCTTGAGATGTTTAGCCAGGAGCCTGCCAATTTAATGAACCTGGCCCACTGCCAATGCTAATCCACTGAAGCACCTGCATTACAGTTCATCTTTAAAGTAGTGACTGTGAACATAAACGGCACCACCTAACACATTTTAATTGTTGTTTCACAAATACATTTCCAGCTGCTTTACAATTATTGATTTTATATATGGGCCATAAAGTATTACTAGGTCAATTAAAGTGTTGGTTCGCAAAAAATACAAAACCACAAATTGCTTCCCTCTTTTAAAGGTGCAATATTATAAAACTGCACTCTTTGTGATAAGGTCTGTGTGTCTCCCAATGTAATTAGAATACAATTGATTTACTCTGCAGTGTTTTCCTATAATGTGTTGAGTGATTACAAGCAATTCCACCACCCTAGTAGTGTCTACTGTAGCCATATAGATGTTATTGGTTTAATTTCTCAGAATATCCACACCCACACGCTCTACTACTGTGCGCTTTCTGGATTTCAATGTCAAAGAACACATGTTGGAGATTGCACGAAGACAACAAGTTACATTTAAGGGGAAACTCTTTTGATCTACCACCCAGACCTGCAAAAGAGGAGGGGAAAGATGCATCAGGCCATTAATCAGCTGAAGGGAAAGGAGATATGCACCAAGTATCCCTAGCCGGAAAAACGCAGGATGACAGATTCAGGAGAGAAGCAGTTCGAAACCGAGAGAGAGAGAGAGAAGAGAGAGAGAGACTACAGTGAGAACTGACTGAATAAAATACATTTTTTGAGTAACTGGCCCAACACTGATGGTGATGTATGCTAGACAGCCTGCTGTTGGAAGTTCTGTGTTCTCCCTTACATGTGAATGGGGAACTTTTCAGATTGGTTTGTTATGTGTTTTCTATTCCTTGACAAATGTTTCAAGCTCATATATTAGGGAAGAAACAAATGAGGACCAATATATCAAGATTGACAATATGGCAGGCTTAAACTGTATTAATATAAATGGTCTTAACAATCCAATTAAGAGGAAAAAACTGTTCCGACAATTAAAGAAAATGCAATGTTCCATATCATTTATTCAAGAAACTCACTTATCAATAAGTGAGCACAGGAAAAACAGAATGGGTGGACCACATAGGGAAAGAAGAAAGGAGTGGCTATATTATTGAATAAATCTGTCTGTTTTACTAAAGAGCATAAAGTTGAGGATAACCAGTGTACATATGCCATGGTCCTTGGGTCAATTGCAGGAATAGATTTAACTTTTCTAAATAAATGCATCAAACGAGGAATTGCCCTAACTTTTTTAAACATATCACCTAACTTTTGGCTGACAATGCCAAATGAATTATTATGACTGTGTACTAAATGAAAAAATAGATAAAATCCCTGCAGGTAATGGACCTATTTCTAAAAAATCTAGATCACTGAACACAATTATATAAAAATAAAGTAATTTTTAGATGCGTGGTGTTGTCACCCTGGGCAAAACGATTTTACTTTTAGGTCAGGAATCCATGGTACTTATTCTCAGATAGATCTCTTGTATTTGTAGGATATTAACAAGTTCAACCCTGTAATATTGAACAAGTTACCATCTCAGATCATAGACCTGTAATTCTGCAACTTCACTTTGTAACTAATAAGTCTTTTAAATATTGGCGGCTCAATGTATCATTGTCTGATTCTTTCATATGTGAGAGGATAAGTAAAGAACTGAAGAATCATTTTGGCTTTAATAATAATGGGAGTGTTTCATCAATTTTATGGCGAGAGGTAAAATGATTTCAATGTCAGCTGCATTAAAGCTGCAGTAGCTGACTTTTATAAACCTTAAGTGATTGTCATATTCTCAGAAACTTTCACTATATCATGACAGATAATATGTGAAAAATTCATTCTGATTCATCTGGCTCGTTCTAGCGCTCGTTTGTAAAAATCCACCGGGCCTGAAGAACAGCAACCAATCAGTCAAGAAAGATGGAAAGACACTTTGGACTGGTGGCTTGAAGATATTTGATTGTTGAGTCTCATTCCCAGCATCGATATTTGACGATTGGGAATAAGGCTCTCAATCTCAACAACAGGAACCCACAAGCAGAACAAAGACTCGGTTGGTTAGGATTTCCAAAGACTGGCTTTATTGAAAACCAGTTGATGAAAAGGTGACGTGAAGCTCCTGCTGGCAGTGGTGAGAAGATTATGGCTGAGATCCAGGCAGAGTGGAACTGAAGGTGGAGGCAGTATGGCTGATAAGAAGGAGCGGGCAGGTAGCTGACATTAGGGTGATGATCCTGAGACATGGGAAAAAACAAGGTTAAGTCTCGCAGCATGAACAGGAAAAAAACTTCTCTTAAGTTCTCTAACTGGCCAAGAACGTTACTACCAGGCATGTAGGGACAACAATCTGGCGGAGAGTGGATTTATATACTGCAGGACTGATGATTTGATGGCTGGCAGGTTTGAGCAGTCAGACAGGTGAGCAGGTAATCAGGGAGAGTGGGAAGAGTCCGAGAGAGAGACACACACACAGGGACACCAGGGAGGAGAAAACTCTAGCAACTACTGACCATAACACAGCTATCTTTCTTTCTTGCAAATGCCAAAAGGAGGAGCACTACATAAAGCCAAAGGAACCTGAAAATTATATTAAAAAACCTAAACATGACAGCTTGACATATAAAACAGAAGGTTTACTTGTTGGACTTACAAGTTGGGTAGTTCATTCAGTGGTAATGCAACCCATGCAAAAAAAAAAAAAACTGCTAATGCCTTTTCTGCCTGTAAAACAAAGAGAGAATCACCCCCTCTGTGTATGCAAACCTACACTAAAGTCCATACATTTTGTACTTGAGTAGAACTTGATTCTATTCTTTTACCATATCATAGCTTTATGGTTTATTAAAGAACTATTTTATTAACTGATAAACTGATGTTTATAGTTGATCAACCAAAGCCTGTCAGAACATGTGCCTGTCAGGGTGTGTGACCTGTTTTTGTTCCATGTTTTCATTCACCTTTAACACAGGGAAGCAAAGTAAACAACTGGAAGAGGCTGGGCAGAGCTGAGCTGCACTTTAAAAACAAGTCACACAGCTCGCCCCTTCAGTTGACTCCAATCAGTTCCACCATGTTTGCTGCAGCCATCCTGCTATGCCTCTGTGTTCTCTTCATCCTCCTTCAACTCACAACTCGGAGGCCCAAGAACTTTCCACCGGGACCCCCTTTACTGCCAATAGTGGGGAGCATTTTGCACCTGACCCTAGAAAACCCCTTGGCGGACCTTGAAAGGGTAAGAACAAATATTAAAATCTTGCTCTTCCAGTATCTTAAATGGATAGTTTGGGGTTTTTTGAAGTGGGGTTGTATTAGGTACTTAATCACAGTCAGTGTATTATCTACAGAATATGCGCTCAGCACGACCCCAGTTTGGTGAAGTAGACATTAATACCAGCACAGAAGCTAAGCAATGCACTGCTGTGGGTGGAGCAGCAAAAAAACTTTTTTTAGTCACCTAAAATAAAACGTATGTACTATCTTAAGAATATTTTCCTTGCTGTTAGACAGCCCTTCCTAACCAAAACCTGAATTGTTTATATGGGGTTTAGTCTGGTGGCTTTGGAGTGATAGATATAACAGCTTCAGTTTCCAGTTGGAAAGGGCTATGTGACAGAAAGGTAAAATGATGAAAACATTCTGAATATATATACATTCATGTATAAATTGTATATGTTTTGTTGCTGCCCCAACCCACAGCAGTGCATTACCTATATTATGTGCTGCTACTCCTGCTTTCTACTACAAAAGTGACCTCTGTCTACTGTAGGTTATAGTCAACTAGTAGTACAGGTCATACACATTGGGTGTTTTATAACTTTTGACTTTAGACTTTGGCCCTAGGAGTAAATGTCTTTCTATAGCACTGTACACATCAGACAACAACAGCACACAGGAACACATTATAATGAAAACAGTACACACCCAGTTCAGTTCAGCGAAGCCTTTTAACTTCCACACAATGCAATGGATGACTTCAGGGTCATGTGATGAAATTTTGAGATCTTCACTGCTAAGATCTCAAAAGGATGTGGGTTTTATAAATGTTTTTGTTTTTCAAACCTTTGAGCACTAGAAACAAAAAACATCCCAGAAATCTAGCTAAAGTCTCAATATTTCATCATCATTTTTATCACCATTGAACCCTGAGCATAGTCTTTTTATCTGAAACTTAACTCATGTCAGCACAAGCTGGTCTGACCCCCACCCATCCCATCTGTCTTTTATGTATTTAACCTTATTTAAACAGGATGTCCCTTGAGATTAAAATCTCTCTTTTGAGGGAGACCTGGCCAAGATAACCATTACAAGGTTACTACAAAAATATTATGAAATAGAGTATGTTTAAAAAACAAAAAAAGGACAACAGATATATAGTACAAAAGCCAGATAGGCAATCTCTTCAGCTACAGGTTTTTATCTTTTGAACTGTTTCAGGGAGTCAAAAACACTAAACTGCACTAAACTGAATGTTGAGGGTTATTTATTGACCAGGTTGCAAAAAACAGAAAGCTCCACCATGTTCTGAGAAAATCTTGGGTACGTGGTAGCACAGCCGTCTAGTGGAGCTGTTGGCGAGTGATAGGAGATTACGCAGGTATGAATGGAGTTTACTCAGTAGTGCTTTGTAAATAAAATATACCAATGCTGCTGTCTTCTTAGGCCTAATGAAGACTTGGAGACCAGATCATAATTTTCACAGTTGTGTGTACAGGGTAAAGAGTTGGATATAAAACATAGAGAACTGTGATACACAGAGTCAAGTCAGCAAAGTGTGGAGGAGGCAGCATGTAAAAATAATGTCCCTATAGTCTAGAACAGTGGTTCTGAGCCTGGGGGTCGCGTGATGATTTCTGGGGTCGCCAAATGGTGGTTGAGAATAAAATTTGTGGCAAGTATTTCGGAATGAGAGATAGGAAGCAGCTCTTAGTGATGTCATCCCTTTAATGACATTTAACACGGTACAAGAATGCAAAAACATTATAGACTATATATGCTGTTTTTATACACACTAACAGGCCCAGTTACCACAATAATATAAGAATGGTTTTCTATATATAAGTGTGCTTTACAGCCTTAAGCAGACATATTGACTGTGAAAGTGAACACCAACCAGTTCATCCGAGGGGGGGGGGATTATGACTCTAAAATGTTAAAAACCACTGGTCTAGAACACTTAAGAACGTAGCCTGTACAACCGTTTTCATTCAAATTAAGGCCTATTTCAAAAATAAAACCCCGGCCTAACCTTAAGTAGGCTACTTGGATTTAGAACCAACTTTAGACCATACAGTGATGCCTGTTGCTGTTGAAAGGCTGCCTGGAGCTCACAGTCTGACTCAGAAGAGTCAACTTAGCAGACTGTTGTATCATCTGCGTTATCAAGCCAGTAGCTGCTGAAATAACAGATCACAACATGTAGTGTTTCTTAATTTTTGTATTATTGTGTGATACTCTTTCTAAATTTCTCTCACTGACGATTCCATGATTCCAGTGAATTGCCCCTTTAAAGAGTAATATCCATCTATAATTGTGTGAAATATATGTATTTCAAACACTGACATGTTTTCTCATTCTCTCCCAGCTGAGGAAGACCTATGGAAATGTCTACAGTCTGTTCTTCGGGTCCAGACCGGCTGTGATCCTCAATGGAGTGAAGGCCATGAAAGAGGCTTTAGTGACCAACGCCAAAGATTTTTCTGGACGACCCCAAGACCTGTTTGTCAGTAAAGTCTCCAAGAATGGAGGTAGAACAGACATGACATGTGATAGGGTAGAGAATGCATTATCAAACTTACAAACTAAGTCTTATGTCAGTAATGTGTCTCTTTCTATTCATGTACTGTATATAGGCATTGGGTTGTTACCAGTATAACTATACATCTTTATGAATGCAAATATGGATACAAA